AATCTTACTGAAGATAATTCAAAATTGGCTGGAGCAGTATATTAACAGAGAACTTCCAGAAATGGAAGCTGGGTTCAGAAGAGGATGTGGAATGAGGAATATCATTGCTGATGTCAGATGGATCTTGGCTGAAAGCAAAGAATAACAGAAAGATGTTTACTTGTGTTTTATCGACTATGCAAAAGTGTTCAATTGTGAGGATCATAACAAATTATGGATAGCATTAAGAAGAATGGGAATTCCAGAACACTGAATGGTACTCAGGAAGAACCTATATACATAGACCAGGAGGCTGTCATTCCTGGGGATACTGCCTGGTTTAAAATCAAGAAGGGAGTGCATCAGGGTTGTATTTTTTCTCCATACTTATTCAATCTGTATGCAAATAATCAAAGAAACTGGAGTATATGAACAAGAACATGGTATCAGGATTCGAGGAAGGCTCATCAACAACCTGCGATATGCAGACTACACAACTTTGCTTGCTGAAAGTGAGAATGACTTGAAGCACTTACTGATGAAGATTGAAGATTACAGTCTTCAGTATGGATTACACCTTAATATAAAGAAAACAAAAATCCTCACAACTGGACCAATAAGCAGCATCACAATAAATGTAGAAAAGATTGAAGTTGTCAAAGACTTCATATTACTTGGTTCTGCAATCAATACTGATGGAAGCAGCAGTCAAGACATCAGAAGACGTATTGCAGTGGGCAAATCTGTTGCAAAAAACCTCTTTCAAGAGCTGAAGAGCAAAGATGTCTCCTTGAAGACTAAGGTGCACCTAACCCAAGCCATGGTATTTTCAATTGCCTATTATGCATGTGAGAGCTGTACAATAAGTAAGGAAGACTGAAGAAGAGATGCTTTTGAGTTGTGGTGTTGGTGAGGAATACTGAGAATAGCAAGGACTGGTAAAAGAACTAACAAATTTGTCCTGGAAGCAGTGTAGCTGGAATTTTCCTTGGAAGCCTGAATGGTCAGCCTTAATCGTACCTACTTTGGTCATGTCAGAAAGGAGCATTCTCTGGAAAATGATATCATGCTTGGTAAAGTAGAAGGCCAACAAAAAGGGGGAAGGTCCTCAACAAGATGGATTGACACAGTGGCCTCAATGATGGGCTCGGGTATAGCAAGGATTGTGAGGCTGGCACAGGACTGGACAGTGTTTTGTTCTGTTGTACAGAAGGTTGCTGTGTGTCAGAGATGACTCAACAGCACCTACTAACAACAACAAACATCTGTGGAAAGAGATTATGAAGAAGGACAATATCATCAGTCAGAAAAAGGCTAGGAACCAAATGTAGAACAGATCATAAATTTCTCATATGCAAGCTTAACTCAAAGGGGGGAAAAAAAAACCTTGAGGATATCTCACTTGAATTTAGAGAAAATCTGAAGAATACATTGGATGCATTGAACCTCAATCACTGACGATCAGACGAATTATAGAATGACATCAAGGATATCATATATGCAGAAAGCAAAAAGTCATTAAAATCCAGGAAAGGAAAAAAAAAACAAAATGAATGTCAGAAGAAACTCTGAAATTTGCTCTTGAGTGGAGAATAGCTAAAACAAATGCAATAAAAGATGAGATGGAAGAGCTGAGCAGAACATTTCAGAGGGCAGCCTGAGAAGGCAAAGTAAAGTGTTATAATGAAATATGCAAAGAGTTGAGGTTAGAAAACCAAAAGGGAAGAACACACTTGCCATTTCTGAAGCTGAAGGAACTGAAGAAAATTTTCAAGTATCGAGTAGCCATATGGAAGCATTGTGTGCGCAAAATACTGAATTAAGGAACCATAGTAGAAGATGGAAGGAATACACGGTCACTTTACCAACAGGAATTGGTCAATGTTCAACCATTTCAGGAGAAAGCACATGTTCGGGAACGGCTGGTATTAAAGAAAGATATCCAAGTTTCACTGAAACAATTGGAGAAAAACAAGGTTCAAGAAATTGATGGGTTATCCATTGCTGGAAATGCTCATTAATTTATTCTAAGAAAATTGGAAGACAGCTACCTTGGCAACTTATTGGAATAGAGTCATATTTGTGCCCATTCCAAAGAAAGATGATCCAACAAAATGCAGAAATTATTGAATACTATCATTAATATCACACACAAGTTATGTTTTGCTGAAAATAAGTAAACAAGACAGTTGCAGCAGTTAATAGACAGGGAAATTCCAAAAATTCAAGCCAGATTCAAATGAGGAGGTAGAATGAGGGATATCATTACTGATGTCAGATGGATCTTGGCTGAAAGCAAATACCAGAAAGATGTGTATCTGCACTTTATTGATTATGCAAAGGCATTTTACTCTGTGGATCATGACAAATTATGCATAACATTTTGAAGCATGGGAATTCCACAACACTTTATTGTGATTACATACGTAGACCAAGATGTAGTCATTTGAATAGAACAATGGGATACTGAATGATTTAAAAATCAGGAAAAGTGTGTGTCAGGGTTGAGCTTTTTCTCCATACTTATTCATTCTGTATGCTGAGCGAATAATCTGAGAGGCTGGATTATATGACAAAGAACACAGTATCAGGGCTGGAGGAAGACTCTAACAACCTATTATATGCAGATGGCACAAATTTGCTTGCTGAAAGTGAAGAGGAGTTTGAACACTTACTGGTTAAGATAAAAGACCACAGCTTTCAGTAAGGATTACACCTCAACATAAAGAAAAGAAAAATCCTCACAACTGGACAATAAGGAACATCGTGATAAATGGAGTGAAAATTTATATTGTCAGGGATTTCATTTTACTTGGATCCACAATCAATGCTCATGGAAACAGATGTCAAGAAATCAAACAACATATTTCATTGGGAAAATATGCTTCAAAAGACTTCTATAAAAAGCAAGATATCATTTTGAAGACTAAGCTGTGATGGACCCATGCCCTGGTGTTTTCAGTAGCCTCATATGTCTGTGAGAGCTGAACAATGAATAAGGAAAACCAGAGAAGAACTGACACATTTGAGTTGCGGTGTTGGTGAAGAATATTGAATATCCTATGGACTGCCAGAAGAAGGAATAAATATGTCTTGGAAGAAGTACAAGGAGAATGACAGGACTTCATTTGTGGCACTTTGGTCATGTTTTCAGGAGAAATCAGTCCATGGAAAAGGGTATCATGCTCAATAGCGGGCCAGTGAAAAATGGAAAAACCTTCTATGAGATTGACAGTGGCTGCAACAATGGGCTCAAGGATAGCAAAGATTGTCAGGGTGGCACAGGACCAGGTAGTTTTTCAATCTGTTGTGCTTAGGTCACTATTAGTCTAAACCAACTTGATGGCACCTAACATCAATAGATTTGCATGCCTTCCTACTGAGGGACCTCAGGATGGCATCCCACCTCCATCATTTTGTTTAGAGTCCAGGTGTATTAACCCCTTATGCTATCAAGGAAATTCTCTACCTCTATGAGTGTTCAAATTTATAATTATTTTCACACTGAGTAATTCAAGTAGTCCTTTTTTTTCCCTAAGCAGTGGTCAGGGTGAATAATTATGGTTGTTGTTGTTGTTGTTGTTACGTGCTGTCGAGTTGGACTGACTCATAGTGACCCTTCCTTGGGTTTCTGAGGCAGTATCACTACGGAAGTAGATTGCCCTGCTTCCTTCCGAGGAGTGGCTGGTGGGTTTGAACCACCAGTCTTCTGGTTAGCAGTCAAGTGCCTTAGGTACTACACTACCAGAGCTTCTGAATAATTATTAGTTATTGCTTTTTAATTTTAATTTTTTTTTCCCCACAACACTTTAAAAAAATCATTCTATTTCTTTCAGAATAGGATGTTAGATTTTTTTTTTAATTAGTGTTATTTGTTTTATTTACAAACAAAATAATTTTCTGGTAGTCAACCTTACCACCTGGTAGTCAGTCTTACCACCTTATAAGAGAGGAACAAAAAGGATTTATTTTTCTGTGCAATCTGAGCTTTGTCCTTCAGTTTTCTATAAAAGTGCTCCATTTATGACATCCTAAAAGATACAACTTTGTACTATTTTGTTTTGTATTTTGTTTTCTTAATATCATATCCTGAGCATTTTTTCTTGTCATGAGTGGACTAATAGGCTGGTCAAAACTCACTGCCATCTTCAATTCCAAATCCTAGTAACCCTATTGGGCTCCCAATGCTGTAAATCTTTACAGAAGTAGACTGCCTAATCTTTCTTCTGTAGAGTGGCTGGTGGGTTCAAACCATGAACCTCTTAGTTAACAGCCAAATGCTTTAACCATTGCACCACCAGAGCTCTTTATTTAAGCTTGTAGCAGTATCTGATGTTGGAAATATCTCTGAACATACATTGTGTTGCTTTTCTTTATATTTCAACTGGAGAGATGCCCAGTTGTTGAAATTATTTGGTTAAAGTATAAACTCACCTTTTAGGCTTCATTATGTGTAAACTGATTTTTAGGGTTTTTTTTTAAGTTTCAAATTTACATTTTTAATTAGCTAGCCATTATTTATTTCTTCATATAACTTTTCTAACCTACTGTTGTCTCTTCTGGGAGATCTGGTTGTGTAGTGCCTAAGGCACTTGACTGCTAAGCAGAAGGCTGGTGGTTCAAACCCACCAGCCACTCTTCGGAAGGAAGATGGGACAATCTACTTTCATAGTGATACTGCCTTGGAAAGCCAAGGAGGGGTCGCTATGAGTTGGGTCCGACTTGACGGCACATAACAACAATAACAACAACATTGTCTCTTCTTATTTTCCTTCTCCTTATTCAATTTGTTTTTTACTAGAGCGCTCATGGAGATGAATGTTGTCTTTCAAAGAGTCCAAATTTTAATTATTCATATTTGCAATGTTCTCATTTAAAAAAAAAAAAAGGTTCTATGAATTGTGAAATGAGAACTGAAAACAACCTTTCATTTTTAAGTTGTTTAAACACTAATATAGAATCTGATATTCCTTTGACTTACAGTGCTGCAAAACAAAAACAAAAAAAGAGCTTTTTCTCACTTTTGACATTCATCCAAGGCTAGCACGTGCGGGTGATCATCGTCTGACATGGTGATGACTGCTTCCTTGTCAAAAGCACCCGGCCGAGTCTGGTCCACTGTGTGTCTGGTGATGGAGGAGGTAGTGGAGCTGGTCCAGTACAGTGTATCCCAAGCTCTGTGATAGGCAAGTCCTTCCACAGAACCCACATCTGATGGGAAAAGAAATGAAAACATTTATAATTTTATTTACAAAAAATATGACATCTGTACTAAAAAGAAAAAAAAAAATTATAAAAATCCATGCTCTTCAAGATATCAATTTTTTTTAATTAACTATCCAGAATAAAGTATAATTGGAAAACCTACAGTAAATATTATTATTATTATTATTATTATTGATAGAGGATCATACACAGAAAAACTTAGCTGTGAACTATTGCACATGTGTCAGGACAGTTTTTTGCCAAAATATGTCATAAACATGCTAAATCTCGGCATTCAAAAATAAATATGCAATGCAACGCACTGCCGTGGAGTTGGATCCTACTCATAGTGACCCCTCCTTGGGTTCCTGAGGGAGTATCACTACCAAAGTAGATTGCCAACCTTCCTTCTGAGGAGTGGCTGGTGGGTTTGAACTGCTGGCTTTCTGGTTAGCAGTCATATTGCCTTAGGCACTATGCCATCAGAGCTACCCAAAAATAAATAATTGACTTTTATTTAGGAAAATAGTGGCATTCTTTCTTATGTCTTAATAATTAATTTTCAAAAGTTATTCAGTGTGCAACAATTTAGTGATACTTTTGAAAATCTTGTTACAGATGCTATTTAGGTACTATTCTAATTCATTTTTCTCTTTTAATTTTAAAAAGAGTTGTAAAGAAAAAACAAATACACAAAAGCAACAATATAAAAAACCCTAAATCCAACTCTATATTTGAAAATATCAAAAAATGGTAGATATGTTTTAGTAAGTTAATAACACAAGTCCTTTGATTCTATTGAACTAATGTGGTTTGAAAAAAAAAAAAGAAATGAAATTAATTGCCAGCTAAGGCATTTTTTTAAATGTTGTCAGAAAAAGATAAATGGTACTGCACAGATTTAATACATAAAAGTGACAATGTGAAAAACAAGAGTAATTATTTCCTAAAATTGTGTTTCCAATCACTAGCGTAACAGTGGTTTTCTTCTTTCAAGTTAATTAGAGAAGTATTTTGTACATATTTAAGTATAAGCAAACTACTATAATTTTTCCTTTATTTTATTAGTTTTCAACAATTATTATTCTTAGAATATTTAATTTAAGAAATGACAGATATATATATATATATATATATACCTTTTGTAGTCATGGTAAAAAATGAAGATTATAATAAAATGCAGAACCTTTGTATTATTTTTCTCTCAAAGAACCTCAAGAAGGAATTACATAGCACTTTTAACAGCAGGCAAATTGAAAGGCTGTTTTAGTGTTTAAGATGGATAAACAGTTAGATTGGAAGTCTATACAATTTATTTGGTGTACAAATTTAAAGCCTTTTGAACCAGGTTATTTTCATGTGATTAAATTTTGCCATTTGTTTCCTGTAGCCAACACAGCAACATTCTTTTATAATACACTACTAGCTACCATTTACTGGGGGTTGACTTCCTGTTAGAAATTATGCTAACTGCTTTGCATACATCATTTTATTTTACAGATAAAGGTACTTTGTGAAGTTTGTTTCATTCTTCCTCTTAAGAAGGAAACTGAAACCTATGGTCACAAGAGTAGTATTAAAACAATATTTTTAATTTGGGTCCATCTGTTTTTGATCGCCTGTATCTTAATAGCACGACTATTTGGAGATGGTCCCTGGATGGCACAAATGCTCTGCACTCAACCTCTAACTTAAAGGTTGCTGTTTTGTGCCCACACAGTGTTTGCCATGGAAGAAAATCTGGGGATCTGCTTCTGTAAAGATTATAGCAGAGAAAAACCTATGGAGTAGTTGTAGTCCTGTACATGGGGTCACCATGAATAGGAATTGATTCAACAGTAGCAGGTATTTAGATAAAAGTTTTGGCATCTATCTCTTTTTCTGAAGATACATCAAACTAAAACCAACAAATGATCTACTAATAACAACTCATGTAGCTGTGGGTGAATTAAATAACCATGAGTAGCCTTCTCTCAGAAGCTCTGGTGGCATAGTACCTAAGGCATTTGACTGCTAACGAGAAGGCTGGCAGTTCAAACGCACAAGCCACTCCTCAGAAGGAAGACTGGGTGATCTATTTCCATAGTGAAACAGCCTCAGAAACCAAAGGAGGGGTAGATATGAGTCAGATCCACTATGAGTTTGGTTTTGGTTTAGTAACCTTCTCTCACACAGTCAACAAACATATTTATAAGGAATTATGGGGATGAAATGATGGAAGAAAAACTATAAAATTATAGAGTATAACTATAGTAAAGTAAGTTAGGCTGTTTTCAGAATGACTCATGTGGTACTTCTGTTTGGGAGGAGTCCATGGAGTTGGAATAGACTGGATAGCAATGGGTTAGTTTTGCACTGTTTTGTTTTTGGAGGGAGGTTTATAACATTGGTTAAAGGTATTTCAGTCATTCATTAATAAAAACCATCTATTACACCATATTTTTGAAGTTTTTAAATAATTTCAGAAGTTAATTTAACTCTATTAGTAGTATATGTGGTATTATATCCACTTCATCATTCACAAATAGAATGAGAAATAGCATAGCAGTAAGTAAATCCAAGCAAATCAGAATCGTCAATCCATCCTCATTCTGCATCTTCCCCTTGCAGTGATTTTGACTGATTTTCCTCCTGAACATTTTTCTCTGCTAAATCAGCAAGAAACCACTTGGTACCACTATTGAGATGAAGCAGTTGCTTCTTGTTTTATGGTTAATATATTTCTAGGGTTACTAGAGTACATAATATATCTCTCTGTCCCGGTACAACCTCTTTTATTTCACTTTGATAGAGCTGACAACCTGACAGAACATTTAATCACTATCTGGTGTTACATTTTAAAACATTCCACTAATATATATCTTTTTTTTTTTGAATTCTCAAAAATGTTGACTCCCTATAAAATTGTATCTGACTTGAACAAAATATCCAATTAAAAACATACCAAATTTAAAAATCATGGAAAAGATTATAGCAGAGATAACATAGAGGACTGTGCCCATTTTATTATAGTTTAGTAACTGTGTTGGGCCTGTGGCATGTGTGTGTGTAGGTGTGTGCATATGTATACAAGTGTGAGCATGTGTGTGCTTGAAGACTGAGGTTCTGGAATAAGTTGCACAGCTAAAATAACGAGTCATTTTTACTAGTAAAACAATTATGTAGCTTGAAAAGAACAGTAAAATGCCTATCTATCCAGACAACCAGACCTGAAATATTGAGTAGAATATATCAATACATGTAAACATTCTTGGGTTCAAAGATATAGAATAGGCAAAATTAAGAAAATAATGACAATTATTTCAAGAGTGTCATATTTTCCAATCTAGCAAGAGAATTATATTGAAAGTCAGATACATAAACAGTAACAATACTACACCTTATATCATGAACTTACTTAAAAAAGAGGTCTTTTTTTCCCTGTCCTTTGAGCCAGGAATTGGGATTAGCTAAACATGGATGAAGTTCTGACATGTGTTTGTAGAAGTAAGGAAAGGAGGATAGCTCATCAAAAAAATGTATGACAGGTAAATAACTCAGACCCTGGTTACTTCATTTTCTGGATTCTTGTTTCCACAGCAACCATTGGGCTGACTGATCCTAATAGCCTGGCAGAGTGACACCCAACCACAATTGCAGAAGACTTCATTTCATAGAGAACACTTTCATCTTGTTGCCACCCAAGAAGGAACAAGAGCTTCTCTCTATTTGTACAATATTCTAAAGGTAGGATACAAGCTCACTAAATTGGAAAGGTACAGAAGAGTGTTTCTGGTAGAGAGCTACATGTACAAAACATGATAATTTGAAAGGAAATGATGTTGAGAAAGTAAAAGTTAGCTCAGACTAAGAAAGTAAAGGGAGCTCTGGTGGCATAGTGCCTAAGGCACTCAACTGCTAACCAGAAGGCTGGTGGTTCAAATCCACCAGTCACTCCTTGGAAGGAAGATTGGGCAATCTACTTCTGTAGTGACACCACCACAGAAACCCAAGGAGTAGTCGCTATGAGTTGGATCTGACTCTATGGTAGTGAGTTTTTTTTGAGTAAGAAAGTGAAAATCTGCCCTGCCATTCATCTAATTGGGATAACAGACGTGGATAAAGACAGTTAAAAAATTAATACACAATGCAAATGCAACCACTGCTGTGGAGTCAAATCCGACTCATAGCGACCCCTCCTTGGGTTTCTGAGGTGGTATCACTACAGAAGTAGATTGCCCAACATTCCTTCCGAAGAGTGGCAGTATTTCTCCCAAAGTTATGGTGCAGCTGTAAAGTGCCGTAATGATCTCCTTGTTGACTGAGTACTACCTTCTTACTTATTGGCTTGTTTGCAAATATCAATAGACTATAAGAAAGATTGCTGTTTGCAATTATATCAGTAGTACAGACCATTCCAATCTTGTTTGGAGGATCTGAGTCACTTTGATCAGAGAAGCTACCTCTTTCTCCAACTCCAGTATAGGAAAAAAAAAAAAAAGAGGCTCTGGATACAGCATTGCTCATCTATCTTCATTTTTTATTTTCCAAGAAAATGTGATCCTGGGTCCACTTCACAACCCAGCACTGATGTTGAACTCTTTATACATACAACATGGTTTGCTTTAAACCTAATATGACATGATGCTGCTTCATTTAAATTTCCCCTAGACTCTGCCTTTCTCCAAAAATCTCATAATAACTGCCATGCAATTAATTATGTCTGCCCAAAGGTATACAGTATTCCTAACACCCGTATCTTGTTGTGGAAACAGGGTCTTTCTTTGAAAAGTTATCAGTTAACGAAGCCTTATAGGATGGATCCTAATCCTAATTCCATTGTAGTGGCATTTTATAAATGAGAAGGACAGGCACAGAAACAGAATTATACCTATGAGGAAGACAGCATGTGGGGCTCTGTCTGTAAGTAGAAGAATACCAAGAATTACCAGCAGCCAACAGAAACTAGGAGAGAGGCATGGAAGAGTGTATCTCTCCAAGTCCCCAGACGAATTAACACAACTAAG